ACTGGTGGACCACCCCAAGATGGCCCACGCGTTGTGGGACCTACTGCCAGACACAGTCACCTCTGCTCCTGAATACAGCTGTGGACACTCGACGCTCATCTTTAGGACTTATGCATTTATTTACAGGCACTCACAGGGCCATCCTTGTCTGCACATGACCACTACACCAAACCAGCTGCCACAGAGGGTGACAGCCCTGATGGCCAACAGGTCTAGAATTAAGGACAGGGTAGGGCTGCCAGCATCAGATGTCCTAAGGAGAATCAAGGAGACTCCCTTCAAGAGCCAATCATGCCTTTGTAACAGAGCAGACGTGAGCTTGGAGATGCCCCTCCCTCAGCGTGCTGGCCAGTTGGCAGCTGCAGGAACTATATTCTGATGGCCTTATGAAATAAACCTGCTAACACGACAGAAGCTGAGCTCAAGATCCAGTGAGATAGCTCAGGGGACTAGACACCTTCTTTGGCAAAAACAGGGACCCGGAGCCACATGCCGTGCCATCCCCGCCCTCAGAGCGCATTAAGGTGGAACAAGTCTGGGCATAGTGGTGCACGCCTATGATCCCAGCACTGGGGAGGCTGAAGTCAGGAGGATCACTCTGAGTATAAGCTGCATAGTGAGACCCTGTACCAAATATATAAGTGAAAATTAAGAACATAAAGCGGCTTTGAGAAGCTGAGAGTTCAGAGCTGGAGAAGCCACCAGGCTCAAGGGTGGTTTAAGGAGCAATTTAAATGATGAAGTGATAGGCACTAAGTGCAGAAGAAACTCGAGGGCAGAGCAATCAATCACCGCCGGGCTTATCTTCTGACAGGAGTACGACTTCAGCTTCCAGATTTAACATTAAAATGTAATGTTCCCATGGGGCCCAGCATGGCAGGCTTCCCCGAGCTTCAGTTTCACTCAGTTAACTAATTATGAGAAAACGTGACACTGGTATTTACTTTTTCTACAGGGACAGATCATTCCCAGCAGGAGGGAGAAGTTGTTATTTTTTTGTTCTGTTTAGTTTTGTCATTAAAAAGAAATTACTTACACAGCAGTAAATCAACTCTTGCTGGGTGGGGAGGGGGAGAAATATTTTTTTTCCCTGATAATTCTGTTAACTCATCTTAATGCTTAATCATTTCTTTTGTGTCCTGGGGACAAGGTGGATAAAAGAGCAAGTGTTTGAGTGTTCGAGTTAGGCTTGAAAATTAATGGGACCACTTATGAGCTATACAGTTCTAGGCAAGTGCTCTGAGCTTATTTCCCCAGCTGTAAAGCTGAGGAGGATGCATCTTTTGTAGTGTAGTTCCTTGAAGAGGAAATCAAATAATATAGTCGAAACTCTCCAGCACAGGGTCTCTGCGTAAGTGCTCAGTAAATTCTAGCTTTGATTCTCAATGACCTGAGTCTCTATTCTATAAGCAGAAATATCTTATATGTGTTATATACGCAGTGGATCACCAAGTCCACATGGCCGTGAATCTAGTCACGGAAGGAGCCTTCGGTTGAGCACTACCATCCCAGCCATGTGCTGCACATTCTACGCCTACTCATCCCAATGAGAAGTTCATATTTAATGAAAAGGTTGAAGGAAACAGTTCTCCCCCCAGACATTCCTCCTTCTTTTAGGTTTGCAAAGACAATGTCTGGTGGTGAGCCAAAGTCATCAATACATCTGTGCCTTCTCTCCCACTGCCTGGATGCAAGAGAACAATCGCATCATATCTGAGGTGTCCTGAGCCATTTAGAAGGCAATTGGACAGACACGTTCCCTTCTGTACTCACCACAATCTATGCAGATGCTGAGCAGATATGATTAGCCCTATTTTACAGATAAAGGGAAACAAAACCAAGAGCAAGAAAGTGTGAAGACAGAGCCCCTGTATTCTACGAAGAGCACCTGTTAAGAATGGAAAACGACACTGTCACTGAACTTTTCAAAATCAGATTTCTTCACGAAACAATTCTTTTTCACAGATGGTCAAAGGGAGTAGTTATTAAAGCGAGAGAAGCTGCATCATTGCTAGAAAGGGAACAAAATTGAAATCTAAGAGGAATCGGGTTTGATATTCCAATTTCATGTTCGGGCTGGGGATATAGCTCAGTGGCATAAGCCCCTGCCGATATTCCAATTTCACTATCCATTTGCCCAATGTATCTCTAATTTTTTGCAATGAATTTGATCAAATGTATTTGCCTCTCTTACAAGCACATTGCAATGTTTACAAATGTACAGTAGTATGTAAGATTGATGGTATGATATTTAGGAGGCCTCCAAGTCACAGGAAATAAAAGTTCCCAAAATGCATCAATCTAAGGAAATGTGCATTCAGTGCTAGATAGAAAATCCTGGCTATACAGGAAACCACACAAATATGTTGAAGGATACATGGGACAGAATATTATAAACAATTAGGCTGCATTAGATAAATCTGTATTACATATTTGAATTATTTGGGAGAACTGCAGAAACAACCTAAGGGTCAGTGACATGTAATACTTTTTCTGAAGTCATAAAAGCATAGTACCCTTCTACTTTCAGTACTGTTTCTTCAGCCCATTACAAACATCACTGTTAAAAATAATCAATTCTGAAGTGCTCTTACTAATGAGCAAGTCTTTCTGGTAACAGCCCCCTCCCAACCCTCCAAAGACACTTCCATATGTTCAATGGTATCTCATAATTGCTAAACAAGTCCTCATGGACTAGAGAATTGAAACAAAGTTTGCTCCTTCCACCTTCTTTGAGTGGACAATGAGGTTTTGCTTTGTTTTCTTTTTTGTATTTAGGACAGGGTCTACAGGGTCTCACTACACAGATTAGACTTGTAGTGATTCTTCTGTTTTCAGCCTCCCAACAGTTGGGATTACAGATGCGGGCCACCATGCCCAGTCTCAATCCCCATTTCACTGTGCCCTGGGGGTGGGGCTGGCACAGCATGCTGGGGATCAAACCCAGGTCCCTGTGTCTGCCTAAGCAGCTGCTTTAATCTGCTGCGCTATCTGGCCAGCCCGACCATGAGTTCTTACAGACAGAAAAACAAAATCAATCAAGAGTCAGTAAGAGCAGAGCTAGTGTAAAATAAAACCCCAAGTTTCCACTTTACCATTTTGGACATGGAAGTCCAAGGATCTATAAATATGCAATCAAAAACCTATTCATATCAGTAACAATCAGCAAACTAACACAAGATAATGGGCTGCCATTAGGTGGTTGATTACCTAATTCTGACTTACGGGGCATGAACATAATTTTCCCTGTGATTCTTCATAAAGCAATGATGCGCCTTCCTTCTGACACTGGAATAGATTTCCTCAGTTGGTAGCAAGAACAGATGCCTCAAACTCCTGGTATATTTCTTAATGTATTCATATCATAAACACGTTTGAATGTTTGACAAGTGTTAACTGTATTAAAGAACGCACAGTCTAGTAGGGGAACCAGCTCAATAAAGCCTCAAATTTGAATGTTAAACCTAAACAACTAATTTGAAGATAACATTATGCAATACAACAACCATTGTCATATTCCTATTACTTTGTATAATGTAATTTTGTATTGTTTCTAATTTTTTTTAACATTTTATATTGTTTAAAAATTTTTTAAAAATGCAAAAAAAAAAAAAAAACACCTGGATTAAAGAAACATTTTTGTCACAATAAGGAGACCAGAGAGCTCTCAACAGAATGTGAGGGAAGGCAGGCAGAAACTAACTATATGGCAAAATAAGTAGTTTCTTGCCAAAGAGACAGTGTGGACAAAAACAGGGTGACACAGAAAAATGGTGGCTTCCAGAAATTAGATGTGCTTTCATATGGCTTGAGTATGAATTATGGTAGGAGACGGGTAGAAGATGTCAAAATAAAAAATGAGGTGCAGTAGAAGATAAATACTCCATTGTTTAGGGCATGCTAAGTCCACATTAAAACACAATAGGAAAAGCTGACAGATTTCCAGCCCTCTGGGAAGATTGCATCCCCTGGTAATGCGAGTGTGTCTACTACAGTCACTTTGTGCCATGCGCAGTGAACTAGAGGAAAGAGACACTCAGGCATGGATACCAGTATTGAGACAAGAAAAAGCACAAGAAAAGGGCCAGCCAAATAGCTCAATGGATTAGAGCCTCTACTTAGGTAGATGCAGAGATCGGGGGTTCGATTCCCAGGCCTGGTGTGCTGGCCCTGCCCCCAGGGCACAATGAGACAGTGATTGAAACTAGGCATGGTGGTGTGCGCCTGTAACCCCAGAACTTGCAAGGCTGTAAACAGGCAGATCACTGAGTCCAATCTACTCAATAAGACCCTGTACACTCTGTACACCCTGTCCTAAATACAAATAAAAAGCACAAAAAGACAAAAAGATGCCCCAGAATAAAGTTGCATGTACTACAGATATTTGTAGAACATAATTCATAGCATAATTGGCCATTGTAGCCACTTAATGAACATTTTGACTGATTGATTGAATAAATGGATAATTCTAAAGCTGGGGTGAAAGTGCAATTAGATACTTTCTCTTTTGCATGACACAGCTCTCTCTTAGAATATAAATAGTTCACTTTAGCTAGGTAGCAACTCATGTCACCTATTAATTTGCTTCAGACTTTGCAAAGGTCTTCACAAGACACAGTCCGAATATCCAGTGTATAAGAGACTTTAGGGAATGTCTACTACAATCCTCCACTTAAAAGATGAAAATATGATTCAGAGATGATGAATAACTAGCTCAAAATCACAAGAGGCTTCTAGTGATGAGAAAGAAATCAGCCAGGCTACAGTAAACCTCAAAGAAATTGCAAATCAAGGGGTTTTAACAGATTTGAAAATAATCCAAGATCCTAAATTTGGCTAAGGTAGATTAAGCCTTTGGATGTGTTTGACATTTCACACTGAAGAAAACATTACAAAGCCTAGAGCTTACAGATACTTTCTTAAATAATTCTTCACTCTGACAGTGAAATTCAAAGACCAGGTCTCCACTTTTAGTTAGTATAAATAAGACAGAATCTTACCGTGATCTTCTGAAGAGACTGGTGACCTAAAAAGAGAAAATAAGCATGATAAATATTTTGTATTTGATAACAATAATCACAAATAATTTCATAGAAATTATACTCACAAAATTCAGTTAAATATAAACTCAAT